CTAATTAAAAGTTTATTTCTAATTAAATAAAAAAATATAGTCAAAAGTCGTTAATCCGGACTCGTCGGGACTTCCGCAATTCCAGATTATCGATTTTTCCGGTTCATAGATCATCAGTTTAAATCTGGTAAAATGGCTATGCAGAAATTATAAAATTAAAAATATGAAACCATAATTAACGAAATAAAGAACAATTATGATCTAAAGGGTATCAAAATTTACAAAAAAAAGCTTAATATTTATTTGTTTACTTTATTAAACATTTCTTTCAATGTAAGTTGTTTAAGTTGCTTCGTTTTTTTATGTGATAATACATTCTCTTTAATTCTATAAGCAGACATAATTTCTTGTTCAGTTACGAAGTTCCGCTGTTCAAGTCCTATAATTGCTGTCTCGAGAATACCCACCAATTTGTCAATCGAAATTTTTCCGTTTTCAATAACCTCTGTTACTTTCCTCGCTATCGGAAGCGAATTATAATGACAAGGCATTTGATTTAAATCATATCAAAGACGGAGTACATCCAGATGAAATATTACATTGAGTAAGCAATTATAAGCCAAATAAAATAAAAACATATGCCCTTAAGATAAGGATAGTGCTGACAGATCAACTTCCAATTCATTGCACGCCGCCCCAGCATTAAAGATAAACAAAGTTTAGATAAACAAACGTTAAAGTTTAGATAAACAAAGGATATGCCTTTATCCATTTTTTGCAGCAATTCCACTTATTGTTTAATGGACTCCAAAAGATACTTTCGCTTTGTATATCCTTTACATATTAGTAAATATATATCGAAAATTCTATTTGACATAATCGAAAGTTCAAGCTTACTTTTATAAAATTGCTCTAACAGTCTGCAAAAAATAATAATCCGGATCCAATTCAAAGATTAAGGAGCAACGCAATCTGCAACATTAAGTGAAATAGATAATTAGATAATTTTAGCTTAGCTTATCCCATCCATTATACATTAACCCCTTAAGGCACACATTAATTTCTAATTTTCGGTCAAAAAATCACCTATTTTTTTTCTTGCATAATCATATTCTCTAGTGCATTTTAAGACATGATCGACAAATAAAAGTAATTTTTAACTAAAAATTTAATTAAAAAATCTTATTTTTAATTTTGGAATAATTTCACTTAAAGTTGTCTTTTGTTATGCTCCTTTGTATTAGAAAAGACAACATACAGGGGTACAAGTATAGGCTAATTTAAAAATATATATATATATTATACAAACAAAGTGAAAACGATTTGATTACATGTTTATTTTAAATTTCAAGTTATTAAAATCAAATTAAATCAAATTTTCATACTTGCAAACATAAAATTGACTAAAAATTCAGTTTGGTATGATATACCATGAAGCATGGTACTGCATCCTTATCTCAGGCTTTCTAATTATACCTTGTAGTATAGTTATGGCTAAAAATATGTATAATTCTTCCATAGTAATCGGTGACCATAGGTTCTGTGATGATCCTGGATGTTGAAATGCATATCTGTTTGTTTCAGTTAGAATTATGTCCATGAGAGAGTTATCAAAAAATAATTCAAAGTATGACAAAGCATCATCGTAATCCGTCAGAGTAAAACAACAGCCAGGGTTAGCTTCAAATCGAAATCTCGGTGGTGCAACGTTTGGTTGATTTATACTAATTTGATACCAATTCCTTGCTATATCCAAAATCTCATTGTCATTATCTTCCGATTCACTTCATCACTCAAGAAATCATCACTCTCATCGCTGAAACTGTCTGATAAATTGGCATATTCAAAATTGTCATCGTCAGAGTCGCTCATTATCAGATAACTTTTTTTAAATTACAAAAACACTTAGTAATATAATTTGCAGTTAACTGCTTACTTTTATTATATTTATGTAATAAAAATGGATATATTACCTTTTCCATACCAAACGACTACTTTATAGCAAAGAATTCCTAGCAAACTCATAGCTAATCATCAAAATGCACCACGTGGTTTACACAAGAAAAATGCTAAATAGTGGTGCCATCTATGTCAAATAAGTTTAATTATAATCTAGCCTATTTATTTTTACTGGAACGGATCTCAGACAAGCATTAGAAATAAAATAACGCAAGATACAAGGGCACCCGTGTGAGACACGGGCATATGCAAATTTGCCAGAAACTTTCGCCCGTGTGAGACACGGGCAAATGCGTTAAACGCGTATTCGTAAACGTATTTTGCGCACACGCAAATTCGCAGCGGTAAAGGTCTTACGCACATGCGTCAATGCGACGCATGCGCAGAAAGTTTGTAGCTTTGAGGTCCAGATTATAGATCATTCCGGATTATGGGTGTCCGAATTAACGACTTTTGACTGTACTTGTAAATGCATTGATGACTCACCAAATTACATCAACCCTCCTACTATACAGTACTGTAAAATATTTAAGCCCAAAACTACAAAATGGGCTTATCAGCTTTTTAGCAACTGAAGTTATAGATAACATTGCTCGTTAACTTCAAAATGCCCCAATCTTTTCATTAATTTTGGATATAACCCAAGACTTCTCTAAAGCTGAGCAATTGAGGAATGTTTGTAGATATGTGAGAATAGTGAATGAAGAAACAGGTAAATCTGAGGAATTAAAAATTTGTGAGGATTTATCTCTTTTAAGAAAGCATATGCCTTAAAGTACAGATTTAGTGATGTAATGAAATGCCTTAATCACATAATTCTGAATACCCAAAGAAAACAAGTAAGGAATGAAGTGACACAACAAAAAACTGGAGACGTTTGATTTTGTCCTGCTCTTAAGTATTGTTTCAAAGTTTTCGCAATCTCAAACAATAGAGTATCAGCATAATTTAGAGATCTGGTGCAGAGATATTTGAGTTTTGAGAAAGAATTAGTTTTGCTGGAGTAGTGCTAGGAAGGTGAAAAAAACATTATGATAAATTGTGTGAAGATGAGTGATTAAAATATCAAAAGTCTTAATTTAGGGTAACTGTGTTGTACCCAATGGGAGGTTCTTTATGCATGCAGATTCATCACAATTTCCAAGGTATGAAAAATGTTCTTGAATCCAAGTAGTTCAATTAGAATTTTTTATGAAACCAAATGAAAAAAAAGAGATCTATGATAGCAGCTGATTTTGTGCAAAAGTTTTTAGAGAATGCATCATCAGCATCTCTGCTGCTGTTTTCTTTAGTTAAAGTGCCATTTAGAGAAGCATTTGGGAAAAAAATAGCATCAATTAGCACAATTACTGATAATAAATCTCAATTCATGGAGTTTTTCTGACATATGCACAGTATGCATCATATACTTAATGATTTCTATTCTATAATAGCTAAGGCTGAACGATCAATCTCAAAATTGAAAATAATATAATAATAATAATAATAATAATAATAATAATAATATGTCCAAAACAGGGACAGGAAAGGTTGGCCAGTTTTGCTTTGTTTTCAGCTGAGAATAATCGAGTATAAAAAATTTATCTTGATAAAATGAGTTTATTACCTTAGCTGTCAGAAAACAGATTTTTCACACTTCAAGTGTAAAAATAAAGTATATCCTGAATAATATGCTAGTTAATATTTTGCCATAATTATGTAATTCATGTTTCATATTATGCTCTGTATAACACCTAATAGTTTCATATAGTATGTTCTTTTTGATCTAACAGGATTAAACATTACTAAAACTTATGACATAATAGCACACATTAATCACAAGACGCTTATCTGAAAATGTTTCTTTCGATTAAAGTGTCTAAAGCTAGTTTCATTATTTTGAAAATGATCAAGCATAACAAGGGGAAAAAATGGTTAAGTCGAACAGAAACAATAAAAAGGGTAGCCCATTATCATTCGATACCCCAAGGCCCGAACTCTTTAGTTATGGCCCAGGTTGGACCAAAAGAATCTTCTTTAGTAACATCAAGAGGGAGGTTATTTCCCCCAAAAAAAGTAATGCTTTGTATGTGATGAGATTACAAAGAAATTGTATAATATGAACTGTTGCCACTAAATCAAACAATAAATCTGGAACTACACTGTCCTCAAATGGCAGTTTTAAAAGCAGAAATTGAAGCAAAGCTCCAGAATTGGCCAATCTTTAAGTTGTTGTCTTCATCATGACAATACTCAGCTTCACATATTGATGAATGCTGAAAAAAACTCACAGAGTATGGCTAGTTGTTTAATGCTATGACCTTGCTCTCTTGATATCATCTCTTCAGGTCACTTCAAAATTCTCTGAATGGCCTGGAATTCATTTCTTTAGAGATTGCGAAACAGTAAATCAATAACTTCTTTATGAATAAACCTTTCGATTTCTTCAAAAAAGGAATTTTCCAGCAATCTGAGACATCGCAAAAAGTCATACAGTCAAAAATGTGATTTATATGATTTAAGGAAAGTTTCTGTTTTCATACTGGTTCATTTGTATTTATTTTGTATTTATCATCAAAATACCACAGAACTTTTCGGATAACCCAATACATCAATGTTATCACTTCTATAAATAAACTGTCTATTCATATCCTAGTTTAGAAACTCTTATAGAATTAAAGGTTTTTACTTCTATAAATATACTGCCTACTTATACCTTAGTTTGGGAATTCCTAAATAGAATTTTTCTTATTTCTAAATACATGCATAAAGCTATAGTGAATGTGAAATATCTAAAAATTTTAAAGGATATAGAGTGTGAGGTTAAATCTAATATCAAAGATCTCAACAACTTATTGTGGCAACCAGGAAAATCATTACAACAGTCCTTACAAAAGAAGGAAATTCAGCCATCTGAGAATCTCCCTATTTGGTTATAAAGAGTCCTATAATAATAGCAGAACCCTGACGTAGATAATGCTATCTCTCTCTTAAGAAGTATTTTAAAGCAGTGGCAATATGCACCAATGAACGAAGAAAATTACAAATTTCATAAGCACAACTTCTGATAAGCAAGATGATTGATTCAATGAATTAAAACAGCATAAAAATCTCCATATTACCTTTTTCCTTCTCAAAGTTACTTCATTCTCATCTTCCTGATTTCTGTTTTCTTTATCACTACTGCCAATACTATCTAGAGTCGAAACACTTTCAGAATCACTAGTTATTTTCTTCCCTAATGAATTTCTTCCATTTTCAGAAGGCACTGGGCAAACAGAACCATCATCAGAAGATGTCTGCTGATGAGTAGGTGATGAAGCAGGCTGAGATATCACTGGGGAATGAGGAGGAGATGGATATGAAGGATCCTTTTTCAAATTGACACTAACTCTAATTTTAGGTTTCTTTTCAGAGCTCATTTCTCTGGGAGTTGAAGTATTTTTTACAGACAGTTTAAAATCTTTATGACTAGATATAGACCTGGGTACTGCATTTACAACTACAGGTTTACGAGTTTTATCATCACTCTGTGGAATAACTGGTTCACTAAATGAGCTATTAGTCCAGTCTGATGTCCTGACTACCACTACATCTGATTTTGAAAGTGTGTGGGTAGATGGTGTTTGGAGAATTACAACTTCATTACTCTCCAGAGGCAGAGCATCGACATCAGTTGATGTGGTAGTCGTGCCTTCCACACAAACTGAGGAATCTTTAACTTGTTCAATATCACCAATTGTAACAATGGAGATGTGACTGGAATCCAAAGAAGAAGGAGATGTATTGCTTTTTGCACAGTCAGGTTCATTTAAAATGCTATGACTGGAAGACACAATAACTTTAGGACTATCTGGAGTAGGTGTTTTGGACAATGTACTTACTGACCTGAAAGGAAAAACATATTTATACTATGGGAAGATAAGACTTTTTATGTGTACATACATGGTCTTTAATATACAAGAGAACTATTAATTTGATAAAATATTTTACAAAATCATTAATTTGAAAGTTATAAGTACATACATTTAAAAGAATATATAAGTTTAATAATTTCTTCAACATGTTTTGGATAAATAAACTTTATTCTCTCTTCCCCCAATATTTCATTATGCACCATCAATGAGTCAGTAAAATTTGAAAAGGAATATATAGCAGGTGAAAGAAAAAATGAGAAATCCGTAAAAGTTATACAATAAATACTACAAACATTATTCTTACAAGGGACCACAGTTACAGAGCACCTCCTAAAGTAAATGTGAAGCATGTGAAGTAACAGCTCTCTCTCAAAAATAAGCAAGAAAAACATGGTTAAAAGTTATATTCATATTAAACAACACTACTTTATTATAAAATTCCCTGATGGCATTGTAGTAAGAAACAGGAATTTTCAGCATGAATCCTGACACTAGTGAGTATTCAAATAATCTTATCTTTAATATTTGGTATTTATGTATAAGCACAACTTTAGTAGAAGTTGCCAAATTTTCACAGTAAGCCAAACCGTGACCAGCTATTTACATAACAGTTCTTCAGTTTTAACAAGCAATGCTGCCATTTTCACATGCTTTTTGTTATATTCCCAGTTCCAGAGTTTCATTGTCAAATTGGTGATATATTTTTTGTTCTTGAACTCAATTCTAAAATACAAAATTTTAAACCAATATTCTTCATTTTTGACAAAAAAGCTGATCCCCTTTCCCCCCCAAAAAAAAAAACATTTTTTATGCAAAATTTGGCCAAATTTCCTAAATTTCTGCCTTGTCTTATTGTTTGCACCAAAATGCCGACCTTTTTACTCTTTATCTTTACTTTTTACTTTCGTAGCAACACAATATCAGCAGACTAGCATACAATAACATTATGAAGCACGGCAATATACTTCAAAGCTAAATGAGCAGCATCAAACAGTACTAAACTATATCATAAGGGGAAAATTAAAATACATACCAACTATTTGAAAGACTTCTATTAAACACATCCTTGTTTTCTGGACTTCTTAAAACAGGAGGTGATGATTTTTCATTAGCACAGGAACTATTTTTCTCATCATTAAAATCTGTTAATATATTACATACAATTTATTATTACTGTTATTCTAACTTTAGCACAATAAAAATATTCATTACTGTCACTTTGTAAAATAAAATATTCAGTACATAACCTCAATACTACACACAATTATGGATTTAAAATAAATAAATAAAAAAATCATGGAAAGAGCATTAACCTGTTTCTCTGGTTTTCCTGTGTGCCATATGAGGATTTGCCTGTACAGCATGTGGGCAATCTCATTTCTCTGTTGCTTGTATTATTTTGCCTATTTCTTTTCTATTTTAAATATCAAATTAGTCGTATAGTGGCAGTAGATGTTCTCTAAGCGGTGGTTTGTAAAGTCTATTCTGTTCCATTCTAATTGATTTAAAAGTGCACACTTGTTATGTTATTTGTTTGACTCAGCAAATTTTTATATTTTAGTCCTTAATTTTTTTGCATATATTTTATGGATTATTTGATAATTTTATTGATGTACAAGTAGTTAAAATTGATTTTTACAATAAAATAATGACATTCAGAATATATGCCGCTAATTTCTTGCATTTCAGGCTGCGATTCAGTATCAGGAATCTGAAATGTCTGTAGATCAGTTTAGGAGTAATAAAAGTTCTTTAGATGACACCGCTACTACTATAAAACAGATGATGGTATAAATATTAATTTACATTTTCATTTAAATATTATTGTTTGATTGATTGAAAGGCAGGCAACAGCAGAAGGTTAAAGAAAGGTCTTCCTGGATGTTTACTAAGACTGCTCTATTAAGACTGGCAGAAAGACATATTTAGAAGTGATTTTATCTGCAGGAGGAAAACACCTGTAAGATGTGCAATGTGAGTTCATGGAAATAAAATGACAACAGCAAAAGGATTAGAAAACAGACCCAGTATTTTTAATCAGACTGCCCAGTTAAACTGTGCCCCTTGCATTGTTTTAAGATATATCATACTAAATCAAATCTTTAGAAAAGAAAGGTTAAGTAAATTTAACCAAGAGTAATTTTATTTTTTATACATATACAGCCATAAGCGCAACTTCCCTCTTAGTCACTCATCTAGGAAGAAGAGTCAACTTCCAGAGAAAATACTGTTTTATTTGCTGTAAACAATTGTTCTAAATGCTTAAAAATACATCAAATGTTAGTTTTAATAACATTTTTATATTTACAAATGTAAAATAAAACAAAAAATGCAATAAAAATGCAACTTTTTAAACTAAATTTGAAAAAAAAAAAAAAAAAAAAAAAGAAAAGAAAAGAAACACTTATGTTTTAATTTGAAAATTAGGTAGGTTAAAAGGATTCATTTACACTGCAATAGCCATTAAAGTTGGTGCTTGAAAATTGTGAGCCATATGGCTACTTAGGAAACAGGGCCATCTGAATGAAGTAGTATATTGAGGAGTCAAAAATGCATTTTAATGGACCTCATTAATCATTCTTTCAAGTGATAACATAATTCATATAATCTTCAAATCACACACTATTAATTTTATAAGTAATGCTAGGCACGCAATGACACTGCTAAAGAAATATGCACAACTGTGAAAAAAAGGAAAGCTATGTTTCAGTTTGTTAAATCTGGCTTTAGCTGTGTTTATATTTCATTATCAAAAGTTCAAAATATGTTTCATATGATATTTATAAAAATAATTATTAATCATCATAGAGAATGTTGCAGCCAGATATTAATGCCCAAATCACTTATCAGATTGTTGACACCAAATATTATAACCCTTTATTATATTTAAAGAAAATAAATAATGAAGAATCAACATGACTGTATGTATCTTTCTCGCATTGTAAAAAAAAACAATGGTACCCAGAACTCGTCAAATTTCGATTAACGTAGCCTTAACACGGACATGGGCACCTGAAAGCCCAAATCCGGAATTTGTTTTATTGTATATTTCATATTTTGTAAAACTTTAATGAATTTTTGATTAAAAAACTCAACAAGTGAGCAGTGGCAACACTGTAGGGAATAAAACATTTCTATCTCCAGCGGGCGAGACTGTCAATCAGAAATTCTAAAGATATGCTGTTTTTAAATAATTTTACACAATGCGGTGTTAACCGAAATGCTTTCGAAAGTCTGCAATGAAAAAATGCCCATTTGAGCATAATATAAAATCTTAAAGCTTCCAGATTTTTTTAAAAATATTTTTAAATTTCTTCTGAACAGCTCATCATGAAAGAATTTGGTGGCAACTTTTCAAAGCCACTCTTATTTACTCTCATCAGGAGTGGGATGTAAGGATGGGATTATTAGAACACTCAGTAAAAATTCTTCAAAGTAGTTATCTATTTATAAGGATCCATTACTGAACCTTCTAACATATGATCGAATTTAGGGAAAACATTAAATACGATCAGTTTGATCTACTCATGAATTTTGGATGCATGAGTTTTGATTGATGACACAAATATAATAAACATCTTCAAGAAAACGGAGATATCTAATGGAAATATATCTAATGACTCGTAAAGCTGGGGAAAACTTCTCTCGGAAACAAGCTTCTCCTTCTCCTATCACTAGTGACTACCTAATCAAAACATGTCTCACCAGAAAGGACACGGGGGATGAAAATGTCTCATTTTTGCCACTCATAACTTTTCTTCAAAGAACTAGTGCTCGCATAATCAGTCAATTAGATAATTCAAATGGCAAATTTCTTGGGCGGGGGGAAATGTTTCCTCCAACACTCTGTTGAGGGTAGCTTGTAGATATGATACCAGAGCTGTTAATGGTTTTGAATATCAATGCAAGTCGAAAGATAGCTTGAGCAGTGAGAATAACAATGACAACAGCGATGGATTATAAGATGTAAAAGAAAACACAGACAACAGTTCCACCAGGAAGGAATGATTTGAGGCCTAGGGAATAGCAAGAGAACCACAAGAAGAACAAGTGTGATTCAAGATAGAGGGAAATAGAGATAGATATTTTTTATTCATAATTACATTTTATTATGAATACTTTTCATTTGTTATGTACTTACTATAACCATGTCACTGGGAAATAAAATTATTTGCAATATTCACTCCGAAATTTTCATGCAATTAAAATTAATAAAAAGGGGGAATGCATGAGTAAATACACTATACAAAATGACAATCGAATAAGACACAGAATAAATGGTAACTAAATAAATCAAATATAAATAATAATGTAGCTTTGAGATATTAAAAGTATGCAACTTCCGTCAAAGTTTAACTTCCCACAAGAAGAATATCTGTAATAAGAACAAATAAAGTAATGTGTGACAAAATTATAAAATGTTTTCTATTAAAAGACAAAAACAGAATTATACAATATGTCTTTGCACTGCATATCTCAAAATAAATTTTAAAAAAATTTTTAAAAATTAATGCGTTGGCTACCCATAATTTGTTAGTGTTTCATTTGGGAAAATTAATTTGTACGAGGGCTATCCAGAAAGTAGATTACGTTTTGGAATAAAAAAATAAACAAAGTATAGGAAACAAATTTTATTATATACAGATGAAAGCCACACTCAAATACTACTTTTCTACATAGTCACCATACAAATTAAGGCATTTATCGTAGCGATGTACGAGCTTGGAAATTCCTTCGTCGAAAAATTCGGCCGCCTGCGCCTTCAACCACTTCGTTACCTCTTCTTGCAGCTGTGCGTCGTCATCAAAACGCTGCATAGCCAGCCACTTCTTCATTGCTGGGAATAGGTGGAAGTCGCTCGGTGCCAGGTCGGGACTGTACGGCGGATGAGGAAACAACTCCCACTTAAAAGATTCAAGAACTTTACGAGTGACATTTGCCGTGTGGGGCCGGGCGTTGTCGTGAATCAAAAAGATCTTAGAGCTCAACATTCCTCTGCGCTTGTTTTGAATTGCTCTTCTGAGTTTTTGGAGAGTTTGGCAATACCTTTGAGAGTTTATTGTAGTGCCTCTTTCCAGGAAGTCCACCAAAATTACACCTTTTCTGTCCCAAAAAACAGTCGCCATCATCTTCCTTGCCGACATTGTTTGCATGCATTTCTTGGGTTTTTTGGGGAGAACTTGTGTGCCCCCACTGCATTGATTGCAATTTCGTTTCACAGTTCACATGTTTCACCCATGTTTCGTCACCAGTAACGATGCGATCGAGTAAAGAGTCACCATCCTTATGGTAAGCGTCCAAAAAGTTCAACGCTGCAGCCATTCGCTGATTTTTGTGGTCCTCTGTCAAGATTTTTGGAATCCATCTTGCACAAAACTTGTGGTAACCAAGCTTTTCGCTGATGATTTCGTGCAACAAACTTCGCGAAATTTGTGGAAAACTCAAAGAAAGTTCCGTTATTGTGAAATTTCGATTTTCACGGACTTTAGCATCGACTTTTTCGAGAAGTTCGGCGGTCACTATGCTGGTCCCACTTCGATCTTCGTCGTGAACATTGGTTCGGCCATTTTGAAATCTTATGACCCACTGACGCACTCCACCTTCAGTGATAATGTTGTCCCCATACACTTCACGAAGCTGCCGATAGATTTCTATCGGTTTACAGTTTTTTGCAGTCAGAAACCTTATTACTGAGCGCACCTCGCAGCTCGCGGGATTTTCAATTAACGCAGACATTTCAAACCGTCACAGTATCTGAACGGAGCACAGCACGAACCTCTCACTAGCACGGCTAGATGCAGACTGAGCTGCGCAACGCTCTGACCCCAAGATGGCCGCGCTAGCCCCGCCCCTAGCGGACACAGACGGAAACGTAATCTACTTCCTGGATGGCCCTCGTATTTCTTGATTAGGATATTTAAATACTAAGCAAATGCTAAAATATGAAAATTATAACTTACTAGATATAACAATAACTTTATTTTCAGAAGGAGCAGAATTTATACTTTTTACAGAATCAATGCAACTGACAGGACGGCCTGGAGAAACTTGCTTTGGAACTTTTGGTGCAGCTGGCTTCCTATGAATGATAAACATCATGCAAATCAAGAAATTATTTTATAAAATTTAACTGAAGGATTTACATTAGACGATCACATGTAAATTTTAACATACTATCAACATGATAAATCTAAGAAGAAAAACAATAATATATGTGATATGATATGTATTATTGCAAATAGTCATAAAATGTAAGTGAAAAATTCGGTACAAAAGAAATGACAAGGAAGCCAATAGCAAATTTTAACATGGCACTCTTATGTTGCTAAATTGATCATTAATAGTTATCTTAATCAGAAAACAATGCTGGTGAAAAGAAAAAATAATTGAAAGAACACAGTCTTTGTCAAAGGAATAATTTCTTACATTTCTAAAACAATTTGATGCATCTCAAATTTACTTTTCCTCGCCCTTTTTTTAAAGACAAATTAATAATTAAAGTAATCTGCGATGACATATCATTTCAATAAAACTGATACTTTTGAATAGTAGTTCTAAAACTGCGGCACACATAATTTAATAAGAAAATTTCTAGGGGATAGAAAAGTAACTCTTTCCAGCCACAAGTTTCCTCAGATGCTATGCTATATTCCTCAGGCTAAACTTTTAACTCTATGATTTTCTAAAAGGGGGGGGGGAAACCTCTCTTGTGAAATTAAAATTTTTATGCATGGTATATTTAAAAAATAACAGAATTAATTTGAAGCTGCATCTTTGCTTAGATGTTTCAAATTGCATTGAAAAGCTACATTATATCATGCCAGCATACTCTTTCAACAAGAGAATTGGACATCCATAATCTATTATGTTCATAAGTATTAAAAATTATTACTTATTAAAAAATCTGTTTGGATTTATTTTTTGCTCCTTATTTTTGAAATGCAAAACATTTTTTATAGAAACTTTGTATTCTGATCGTAGTGATTCTCAATAAAGGATAATGTTGAGACAAAAATTTGAGCACAATTTCATTATCTGGACCACATGAAACTGCAGCTTAATGTATGTGTAAAAGCACTAAATCTAGCAAAAAAACCCATTTAACCACAAACTGAAAGTAAATTTCGATTTCTCAAAATGCACGACTTTAGATTGTGCATAAATTTAGATAATTCTAGATTTTTAAGTTGCCATGGAAATACTCATTTAATTTTTTAATCCTTTGATAATGGTATGGATCTAATAATTTTAAAAAGAATGTTTATCAAAGAAAAGACATCTATCATGATAGAAAACTATGCTTGAAGCACCATGAGATAAACCTATGTTTCACTGACAACTCAACTGCAAAACGGCACAGCAGGAAAGAACCCTGCAATGAGGAGAAAGAACTAAAAATACAAATCTGTTCAAAGGACTGAATTATCCTCTTCCTCACAGCAGTGAGGTTCATCTATTTTTGATGTCGGGAGATGACATCTATTGAACTTTGAAAACTCCAAATGAAGATGAAGTTACATGGAGATAGGTAGCACAGCTTTAATTGCAAACCGAAGAAAAGTAATGGATGTAACAAGATTTTTAAGTAGACAAAAGCATTTCACTCAAAAAAAAAAAAAAAAAAAAAAAAAAACCCTCTGAGCATGCTCCAGGGTTGCCACTCAAACAGGAGAATGAAATTCTCTGACTTTTCCAGGTTTTCCAGGTGTATTTCAAGAAAATTCCAGTCTATCCGCGTATTGTACGTTGGCTGTGCTAAGAGGTAAATTAATTATGGTATTACTTGTATTGTGTAGCAAATTCACTTAATTATTCAATAAATCCCAGGGAGGACATTTATTCTTAATATTCTTGGTATACTTTGTTTGATAATTTTGTTTAGTTTTTCCACTTAAGAAACTTAATAAAATTTAAGATATATATATTGGATAACAAATGTATGTTTTATTTAATTATTACTCATGATCAATCACCAGTTTAACACGAGGCTAATCCGGTCCTTATAAATCACAATGCAATGCTAAATAGTTAAGTTAGATTTTAGGTAAATTTAATTTGCGTGAGGTATGTTCTTAAAAGGCACCTTAACACTTGAAAACACACAAATATAATTATAATAGTTGTTGTTTTCTCCACTGAAGATTGAGATTAGAATCTTCCCAATCTGGAATAAAATAAGGCTTTTTTTGCAGACATTCTGCAGCTAAACGAAAGAAAGAAAATCTATATTTAATAAATTGAGGTATTTTATATTTATTTTGCAGCATACATAAGGAAAAAAATATGTGCATTAAATTTCGTGATGGTATGTCATCATACTGCTATAATTAATTTCAGGATTATGCCAGAGAAAATTTCCTGAAATTTGGAAATATTATTTACTAATGATAAATAAATTTAGAGGGAAGAAGCAACATTAAAATTATATGAATAACATAAAAATAATTACTTAAAAATGAATTAGAATAATCAACGATATTTTAGGGAATATAGTTATATTACATGACTAGCCTAGATGACTGATTACTATTTTTTTTATTTTACTGCAAAGTGGCAAGGTATTTATTAAAAAGAAAAAAAAAAAAAAAAAAAAAGGTTTAAAAAGATTTTGCGGTAAAATTCTAGTATACGGTAAGGCTTTGGCACGATTTTGAAAATTGTCGCCAAGACCAAAATGACCCGTTTACTGCGCATCAAGATGTCGCCAAATCCCATTATTATCTAACCAAAGAACGTCTATGTAAAGAAGAAAAGGTTCCATACAAGTAAAATGCTATTACGCCGCTAGAATGCGGAGGGAAAATTTGCCAAGGGATTTGGCGACGGAACCTGGCGGCCAGAATTTCCCTCTCCGCGATGTGTACAGGAAATTGAGAAACACGTGTTAAGAAGAAACGCTTTTTGACAAAAAGAAAACTACGAAAATCCGTATTTAAATTATTGCGAAAAAATCCAAGAAGAAACGTTTTATCAAAGGACGTTTCTTCTTGGATTTTTCGCAATAATTTTAAAAACGGATTTTCGTAGTTTTTTTTCCCCCTGAAAATAACTAATCCATGAATTAATTTACTTGCGCCAAAAAATATTTTCTTTTCCTTTAGAGTTTAACCACTTGCGCTAAGACTAAACTTCACGGTTGCGGTGCCGTGCGCTACAATATAACAAGCCGTAAAGTGTCTCATTTACGCCGCTCCGCATCTGCGAGTGCAATCCAGAGCTGTAACTCGAGAAATAAACAATCTCGTTGTTAGGCGTCGTGTGCACCACGTTATTTTCATTTTTGCGATAAATGCTTATCGACGTGGTGTTCACGTCGCTCGCGGTTTGAGACAAAAGCATCTTGACGTGCGTGGCACGTCTTTTTAAGCGCAAGTGGTTAAAGAAATTTTAAACGATATTCATTTTATGAACTCTTGATAACGTGACCTTCGAACTTCGACACCGGTTTCGAGCTTTGGCAACAGATATATCAGACATGCACAGCTGTTTTCCCTTTAAGATGGAACGGAGCCACAGCCACGTCTGTTGCAGAGAGGTTTTCCTTCTTTACAATACATATTCTTTGATTCTAACCTCCATGGTACCGTATACTAGGATTAAACCCATTTTGTTTTATACGAGAACAGTTCTTTAGTTCATGCATTGCACATGCGATTCTCGAGAATATTGGAAACCAAAAGTTGCGGGAAAGTTGCTTTGCCTTTCTAAAAGACAATCAAATTGGAGCTGCGAAAATTGGCTCTATGCCAGCTACCCGAATGACACTCACGTGATACATAATTCGCCAAAAAAGTTACCTCTTCCGACGTCGGCGAACAAAAATCGCTTTTTTGGCGGGATCGTTGTATGAACTTCCCTGACTTTTCCAGATTTTGACAAAAATACTTAAATTCCTTGACTTTTCCCTGAATATTTTGGTCAATTTTCGAATTCCCTGACTTTTCCCGGTTCTCCAGGTAGCGTGGCAACCCTGATGCTCTTCCACAACAATGGGTTTCTTAGGGATTGTGAAAGGAATCAAATGAATATTTTTTAATCCCTGTCCCAAATCAATTGGGAAAAACTTTATGGAATGCCATAAATGAAAACATTGTAGAAGGATGCATTATTTATACTGACTGCTAGAAAGCATATAAGTTGGATGACATACGAGATGCCAGTTTTAATCATTTTATTGTCACCCACAAACATAATTTTTTGGACCATCTAAAGTGGCTGTCATATATAAATAGAATGACTGTGGGTCAGAGCTAAATGGCATAATAAATGCCATCAGCAACTGCATGACAGTACCTTGATTCTTATTTGTGTGAAGACTTTTACATATTTCTTCTGCAATGTTGGAAGATACAAAAAAAAATTATGCCTCCCATATTTAATTTCAGTTATGTTCAGCTTATTTATTTATTTATTTTAAGGATTGTAATAAAAAAACGTAATGTATGAAATTAAACTTTTATGTGCAATTAAGATAATATTCTTAGACAGTTATTCACTCTCACTTTCTTGCAAAAGGATTACCATAATTATTTTTGATATCACTGGCATAGTTTGGCAATTTTTTATGGTCCTGATAATGGAATTATACAAAATTTTGATTATTAAACATGTTTCAGTTATTTTAATATAAGTATTTCTTTACAATAAATTAAAAAGTGCTGTAGAGAATTACCAGGTAGTATAAATGTCTTTATGAAACCTCACCAAGAAAATTTTATCATAAGCATATATTAGATTTTCAGTCATGACACAAAAGCACAATCAATAAAATGTTTAAGAACCACGCTTTTAGAAGATAATAGAAGCATTCCTCCTCCATTCCTTTCTTTTAAGACATATGTAGCAAAAAAATATAAAATGTCAGTCAATAAAGATATGTTAATTTAACAGCTTCGATTTCAATTTAAAATCATAGAAGGCCACTTCATGCGAGATTCAAATACGTTCTTACAGAAGAAAGATCCTAACCCAGGGTTCATAGCCACATTTTAGTTAAAAAAATAAGCACTTTTCAAGCACATTTTAAGAAAAAAATAAGCACCTGTCTAATTACATTATACACAACTGCATAACTTCAAA